CTGTCCCTATACACACACACTGCCCTACAAACACTGTCCCCATACACACACTGCCCCACAAACACTGCCCCCCATACACACACTGCCCCACAAACACTGTCCCCATACACACACTGCCCCTCATACACACACACTGCCCCAAAAACACATACAGTGCCCCCATACATACACTGCCCCCTAACACACACACTACAACCCTGACATACACTGCCGCACTCACACACTTCACCCTTAACACACACCACTGCTCCTATACCCTATATCCCAGCAGACCCCAGATAAGTTGTCAAACTGTTCTTAAACGGTATGACTACTTACTCTGGGGTGGAATCCTGGCACTACTGACACCATAACTACTACACTGAGCTGTAGTGGTTATTGTGCCTGGATTATTTAATTAAATAATCTACAAGTGCCCCTCCCGAGATCAGGCTCTGGATCCGCCACTGGCGGGAGGGAAGCTGTTTGCTGGCCCGAATCCCAAGTGGCACCGAGGTAAGACCACCCCCACACTAACTTACACAGAACATAATCCCACCCACACACTCTTTCCCAACCAATCCCATGCATCTATCCCCACACTCCTACATGTGCCCTTGTCCGCTTAGCTGCGCTATCTCCCCAGCGCCTGGGCCCATTACCAGGTAAAAGTACTGTCCTGCAGTCTGCATATAACTTGCCAAGAAAAGTTCAGTTTTATTTTCTGTATATAACTTGGAGAATAAACTAATATAATGTTTTCGTATCCGTGTTTCAGTTTGCCATTTTTTACAGTTACATCGGTGGACATTTACTTTGATGCTCAGTTAGTTCACCAACATGAGAAGGTTTTTTTAAGTAATAAAAATTTAATTTATTTAACATTACTTAATATTTATTTTTTCAGAAATTATCTGTTGGGTGTTAGACTACAGTATTTAATCAAAATAGAAAAAAAAACAAACGGGTTAATTCACACAACTGGTGCTTATGCCGACTGGCTGCATGTTTAACTGTCTCTTTTCTTCTCCCGTACCCAATTCTCCCATTTTGCAAGATCCTTTTAATGTCCCCCCTGCTGTGTTCTTGCCCACATCACTAACAGACATCTGACTGTACTTTACGGATAAGGGATATTCTGAGAAGATTAAAGCGCGCTCGGCACAAGTATTCTGCAGATAAAAAGGCCAATTTCTTGCGTTCTTTCAGTAATGTCTGTAAACACAGCGGCTTCTGCGAGTTGCCCAAGCTGCTTTATTATAAAGAACAGACAAAGGAAAGAAGCAGGAAACTAAGGATATATTTACGGAGTACTTAACCAGTCCAGCATGGCGTCAGAAATAGCCCATCTCGTTACGGTGCAGAGTAGAGCAAGCGCTCCGTTTTAGGGAGCGCGCCAAGCTGTCTCTGGTGTCTTCGGGGTCCAAGGTTTAAAGATGGGCCTAAGCTACCTCACCCATAGTTATTCTTTTAATAGGTGGGCCCACCAACTTGCAGAACTTTCTTTTAACATCAGTAAAACTGTGTTCCCCAAACACAAATATCTATCATGTTTGGCAAATCCATCATGTATTCCTTATTTATTATATCCATTACCTTATTTTATAAATATTAACCCCATAGCAATAAGAGGCTCCCCATGATTGCATCGTCCATGAAACTCATGCTTTGCCCCCTTCGCAGTGTCTCCTTTAACAGCAGATTGTAATTGTTTTTTTCCAGCGTTGGCCACTGACCATCCAAAGTTGTGACAATAAGCAAAGTTAGAAAACACACAAATAATTACAGTAAACAGACCGAGTGGACAGACCTGGACAAGAGTCTGGAACACGTTCTACTGCTCCGATCCAAGAGGGTCCTACTCTCTATATCTCACAACTTGAAATAAACCACACGACACTCACATCACTAATCTCTTTAATTCAGCACAACTTGACCCATGCCCCATATCAGTTATCACCCTCTGTGCCCCATATCAGGTATCACCCCATGTGCCCCATATCAGGTATCACCCCCTGTGCCCCATATCAGGTGTCACCCCCTGTTCCCCATATCAGGTATCACCCCATGTGCCCCATATCAGGTGTCACCCCCTGTGCCCCATATCAGGTATCACCCCCTGTGCCCCATATCAGGTATCACCCCCTGTGCCCCATATCAGTTATCACCCCCTTTCCTCCATATCAGTTCCCCCATATCCCCTGTGCCCCATATCAGTTATCACCCCCCAGTGCCCCATATCAGTTATAATCCTCCGTGACCCATATTTGTTATCACCCCCTGTGCCCCATATGGTTATCATGTAAAATGACTTTTTGGGCAGCATTCACAACCCCCCTCTTCCTACCCATAATTTGCACTGAAACTGGCAAGGGGTGGGAGGGTATTAAAATATAATAACAAAAGGTCAGTGGTAAAGGGAGGTGGGGAGATGCTGAGCCTACAAGAAAGAAGCTAAAAATTTCTTTTGACAGAGCGCCTATGTACACAGACGACAGATGTAAAATATGCACAGAATTCACAATAGTCATCGCAGAACAGGACTCCCTATATCATGTGTGCTGGAGATGTTGCTACCACGGGCACAGAAGTTACTATATCTCAGTTTGTGCAGTGTGTATATATAAACATAGATATAGGAAAGTTAATTTTTTGTCCTTTCTTCCAATTCTATCTAATTTTCACAGATTAAATATTATGTTTTGTAATATATTTCAGTCTTTTCACTAGCTGTGAGTGTGTGTGCTTTAATCTCTTATAGACGCCATCCCAAAATCCTTTGTCGCTGCACGATGACCTCCGAGGAGAAGTCTGCCACCCCTCTGGCTGTTGTTGATGCAAAATCGCCAGGTAGGTCAGGGTCAGGTAATGCTTATCCTGTTAAATTTAGGAAATGAGTTTAAAGAGCCATATACGTTGACGTGAAAAAAAAAAAATAACCATATGAATATCGTTTCTATACACACAAAATTCTTCTTTTGTTTTGCAATATAGCAGTGTGTTTGTGGCAGGTCTTCTGAAATGGGAGCTGTCACTGGCCAAGTTTTTTAATATCAGTTTTATTTATCCTTTTATTTAATAAACATGTATTTGTAAGTTGTTAAAAATACAATTAAATGTAGAAATTTACAGCTCTCTATCCTGTAAATGGGCGCCTCCATCTTAGCTCCCTGTCAATCATTGTTATAAGCTCCGCCCTTTATACCTGGCAGTCAGTATAGAGAGAGCCGCCTCCATCTTAGCTCCCTGTCAATCATTGTTATAAGCTCCGCCCTTTACACCTGCCAGTCAGTATAGTGAGAGCCGCCTCCATCTTAGCTCCCTGTCAATCATTGTTATAAGCTCCG